TATACTTAAAAGAGATTTGCAAGTTTCTCTTGAAGTAGTAAATTAAAATATTCATAATATCTGATGATAGACATTCAGTAAATATAACTATTATTACTTTTATAATTTTGATGGTAATCTTCATTGGCAACTTGACTAAATTTATTTTCATCCAAAAGACATACCTCTAGGAGTGTTGGTTAGGGCATTTCCAGAAAGGTTTGATTGAATAGGGAAAACCTACCATGATGGTTGGTGGAACTATTTCATGGGCTAGGGTTTTGGACTCAAAAAAAAGAGATAAAGAGGTCGCCACCTTAGTAGCAGCATTAATCCATGTCTGTGTCCTGACTGCATGCAATGGGAGCAGCCGCCTCCCATCCCTGTTGCTGAGCCTTCCCACTGTGATGTACTCTATCACCTTAACATCTTTTCCCCTTAAGTTGCTTTTGCCAATTGTTTTGTCACAGCAACACGAACAACAAAAAAAGTAATACGGAAAATTAGTACACAGAGTATAATCGTTGCCGTGGTAACCCTGACAATGTGAGTTGTGGGTTGTTAGTTGATTGGTGGGAGAAATGTGCAAGTGTTTGGAGCTGTGGACTAGAGACAAGCCCAACAATGCTGTAAGCGGAGTTTACTGGTCCATTTTGGTAGGAGTTCAGTAAATCAGAATGCTAGGAGAAATGTGGACCATGGAGGCCTGACTCCTAAGGTTTCAGAGGGGAGCAAGATTCTATTGGGGGGTTGTTTAGAGGCCATCCATGTTATATCCAGCAAAGAATCTGTTTTCAGTTTACCTGAATTCTGGTAAGTCGTGAAACTTAAGGCAAAAGTAATCTAGTTTGTTTGGCAGAGGAAATTTTAAGACCTGTGGTGTGGTTACTGCTTACTTCTCTGGTTTATAAAGGCACTGCAAAAAATATAAGGTTTCTTCTCCTTAATTGTGCTCATCTCAACAACTGCAGACGTTTTCTATGTTGTACCCTCCTTGTTAGAACTTTAAACTCACTCATACTGCTTTCCTTACCAAACCTTCTCATATCTTTCAGCTCTCCTTGCTAGTCTCCCTTTATAAACCAGAGCAGTAAGCAGTAACCACACCCATCAAAGGCTCCAGTTTAGAAGAATACAAATATTTTGTTTTATGAGTACTTCACTTTCATGTATGTATTTGAATCTTCAGTGTTTCATTTGAAATACTCACAGATGTCAGGAAATTAGTAAAGGACCATGGAGGGTACTTTCAAGGGAGCTGTCTCAGTTTCTTTTGTATTGCTATGAAGAGACACCATGACCAAGGCAGCCTATGAAAGACAGCATTTAATTGAGGGTTTGCTTACAGTGTCAAAGAGTGAGTCTATGACCATCATGGTGGGGAACATGGCAGCAAGCAGGCAGGCAGGCAGGCATGGTACTGGAGGAATAATTGAGAGCTTACAGCTTATCCATAAGCACCAGAGAGGGAGAGAGAGGAAGAGAGTGGGAGGGGAGGAGAGAGGGAGACTGAATATTGGCCTGTCATGGTAAAAGCCCACCCCTGTTGGCACACCTCTTCCAACAAGACCACACCTAATTCTTCCCAAAACAGTTATCAACTAGGGATCAGTCATTCAAATATATTAACCTTTGGGGGCCATTCTCATTCAAACCACTATAGGAAGGGAGATAGAAGGCAGCGGTGTAAAGGATTAAAGGGGAAGAATGAGCAAGTAGATTTAAATTGGGGTGGGGATAGTAGTACAGGGTGGAGAAGGAAATGATGGGTGAGATAACAATAAAGACCCTTTTAAAAGTTATATTGGAGCCTAACATAGAAATTTCCATGTATGTGTATGATATTATATATAGCTCATATTACATACATACACACATATAAAAAGAATTAAAATGGAGTTACCCTATAACAGAACAACAGCGTCCCCACTAGATACCACAGGCTAACAAATAAAAATCTGGTGCCAAGTTTATTTCTTTTGGCATTAATTAGCAAGTGAGATCCCATGGACCCCCAAACATTACAGGCTGTTGCCCATGCAATGATTACCCTGTTGCTGAGATGGTGTTTCTCTGTGTAGTTCTGGCTATCCTGGGACTCGCTCTGTAGACCTGGCTGGCCTCGAATTCAGAGATCTATCTGCCTCTCCCTCCCAAGTGCTGGGATTAAAGTTGTGTTCCATGACTTCCTGGTGATACCACATTCTTGAGTCATAGAACATGGAAAAAAATCAAGCTGGTACTGACTTAAAAGCTTCATTCCCACTGGTTAGCTTTTTGTAATGATGAAAAGTTCTGGGCTTGCTACCAGAGGAGAAGAGTCATCATCAATTACCTACCTGTGGACCCTTCAAGCTATAGTAACGTCTGGCCTGGCAAGGCATGTCCACTGATGCAATAGTGGCATGAACATCATGGGAATAACCAACCACTTTCAGATTGCATCTGAGTCCCACTCCACAAGATAAAACTCATACCTATTAGCACCATTACTGGGCCAAGAACCTATGGCTAGATAAGTCATAGGCCCTAGGGGAGTACTTTCTATTACTCTGTCAAGAGCTGTACATAAAATATATTTTTTATACCTCAGAGGTGTTGTTATATTGCTTATTCAAATTCTATACAGTGAATCTTACTGAATGTTTTTTCATTTAAGTGTAAAGTTTTTGTATAGGTAATTTTCTCACACTTTTATAAAACAAAGTGAACAAGGATGAATTAATTTAAGAATTTTATATTTTCTTGTTTTCTTAGAGATCTTTTTACTTAGGCTTGGGTAGATGTGGAAGTAACAGACTAATTATTAAAGCAAAGCAAATAGTAATTCACTTGGGGAGACTATAATGTGCTACATGTCAATATTTTTTAAAGAGAGTGGGCCACTCTGGAGGGTTATTTCTTCCTTTGCAGTATTTATATGCTTGAAAGCTGTGGGCGGATGGTTCTGGGGAAGCGTGATTTTGCTTGCCAGGAGACATTTAGCAGTATCACAGCTGGGAGGTGAGGATTGATGCTACTGTCTCTAGATGCCACTAGAGCTACTGAGAACTCCTCCTCTTAAATTATTTTGCCCCAAATGTCAATTATATTAAGGTTGAAGAACTCTGTCATATACCAGTTTGGGAATTGGCAGTAGTTAGCTGTATTTAAAACTTGAAGTGGTTAAAGCACTAAGTTTATGACTAGTTCTTCATTCCTGGAACCTTATCCACTTAGCAGGTTAAATATTCTGATTTATATGTTTTTTCTTTAAATTAGTGTTCTTTCTTTCTGTTTAAAACATTTTATTTATTTGGGGGGGGGCAGGGAAGTATGTGCCATAGTTCATTTGTGGAAGTCATGGGGCAGCTTGGGAAGTTGGTTCTCCCCTTCCACCATGTGGGTCCTGGGTTTTGAACTCATGTTGTCTGGTTTGGCAGCAGTAGCAATTACCTGCTTAACCATTTCTCATCCATAGCCTGAGAAGTGCTTCTTATTCTAGTTCCAAATGTACTTATTGAGAAACTATACTGTAACTATCCAAATTACCTAAATATGGTTGTTAGCTAATCTACTATGTAATTTGGGGGAGAAAAAGCTGTAAAATCCTTGTTCTTTTTATAGTCCTAAGTGTTTCAGAGTTTCACTAATAAATATTTATGTCTAAAATAGAAAGATTTCTGGGGATTAGGTATGGTGGCTCAAGCTTGTAGTCCCTGCACTCAGGAGGCAGAGCCAGGATTGCCATGACTTGTAGGCCAGCTCAGGCTACAGAGTTTTTGAGTTTTACTATGTAGGTCCAGTGTTTATCTTTAGGACCCTTTTATTATTACATTGTATTTATTTAGTGTGCATGTGCATATGTAGGCACATGGAAGTCAGAACTTTCAGGGGTTGGTTCCAAAGGATTGAGCTCAGGTCATCGGACTTGAGATCATATGCCCATCCACCAAGCCAACCCCATCATTAGGGCATCCTTCCTTCCTTCCTTCCTTCCTTCCTTCCTTCCTTCCTTCCTTCACATTCATTCATTCAATTTATTTTACATCCCAATCAGTTTCCCTTCCCTCCTCTCCTCCCAGCTCTTCCTCCTACCTCTTTCTGTTCCTGCACTCCAATCCACTCCTCTTTCTTTCCTGTTCACAAAAGGGCAGTACCAACAAAACATGGCATATCAAGTTGCAGTAAGACTAAGCACCTCCCTATGTATTAAGGCTGGACCAGGTGACTCAGTATGAGGAGTAGGTTCCCAAAAGCCAGTAAAAGAGTCGGAGGCAGCCTGTTCCCACTGTCAGGAGTCTCACAAGAGGACCAGGCTACACAACTGTTACATAAATGCAGAGGGCCTACCTAGATCAGTCCCATGCAGACAGACTCCTTTGTTGTTGGTTCAGTCTCTTTGAGTCCTTATGAGCTCTCTGGCTCCTACAGTCCTTTCTCCCCCTCTTCTTCAGGATTCTCCAAACTCCCCCTAGTGTTTGGCTGTGGGTCTACATCTTGTTTCTATCAGTTGCTAGATGACAATTGAGCTAGGCCAGTCTGGTCACAGGAGATGGCTAGCTCAGGCTATTGCTAGGAGTCTCAGCTGGGGTCATCCTTATAAATTCCTGGGAAATTCCCTTTCGCCATGCTTATTTTTTTTTAACCTGATCCCAAAATGCTTCCCCCTTCCAGTAGTCTCTTTCAGTGCTCTTCCCTACGCTCCCCTGTCCCTAATCATTTATGTTCCCATCCCCACCTGCCCTCAGTTCACTCACAAAATCTCTTCTATTTCCCACATTTTTCTTAATCTAGAGGGTTTTTTATCTTTCAGGTTGTGTCTTCATTTTCCAATGTCCTTTTAAAAAAAGTGTATAAAAGAGCACTCATCTTAAAGATTGAACAATATTAAAGTTACCTGAAATAGTTCGCTATATTTTTAATTTAAGGAACTAAATGTAGTTACTGAATAGTGGAAAAAATTATTCAGCTCATGTGCTTTTGATATAACTTTAATTTGTGACTTCATGTATTATATATATATTTTTTCTTTCTGATAGGCATTCAAGGATATGCTGTATTCAGCTCAGGACCAGGCACCATCTGTTGAAGGTAAGATGAATTAGTTTCCTGGTTTAGTGAAGAAAAACCTCTTTTTAAGGAAAGATATTTTAAAAACAAGACTATGAAATGACTATTATAACTTTATTATGTGTGTCCTTTTGGTTTTGATACGATTTTTTTCTTTTTTACTATTTTAGCTTTTATTTGTCTGCTTCACACTTAAGCTTAGAAGCTTGTGATGGGTCCTTCATTATATTCTTGAGTCATCTGATATTGTTTGGATATGAAGTGCTTCCCAGACTTGAGATCATATGACCATCCACCAAGCCAACCCCATCATTAGGGCATTTCTTTCTTCTTTTTTTTTTTTTTTTAAACATTCATTCGTATGCAAAGATTTGATCCTAGTTGGTGACACTATTGTGGGAAGTTGTGGCAACTTTTAGAGGTAGACTGGGGCCTGTTTGGAGCAAGCAAGTCACTGGGAATGTGTCCTGAGGACCTTGTCCTCAGCCGCTTCTAGTGTTTTAGTGTTCTGCCATGCACCGAGCTGTTGTGCTCCACCAGATGCTACCTGCCATGATCCATGGCCCAGAAATAACAGAGCTAGCCAGTTGTGGACTAAGGCCTCAGAAGCTGTGAGCCAAAATAAATCGTTCTTCCTTTTAAATTGTTTGTCTTGGAAATTTGGCACAGTGACAAAAGAACTGACAAACACATCATCTTAGGACTGTGAAACATATTTGTTTAGTCCAAGGTTTTTCTGTTGTCTTCCTCCCTTGGTGTTTATATCCATCCATCCATCCATGAAGTCTTTGTCTGGAAGTAGTTAGACCAATACAACTTTTCTGTTTATAAAGTACATGAAGCTGTATCAACAAAGTCTAAGACAGGAATTTAGCTCCATCATTTTTTTTTCACTTATGTATTGCAGTGGTGGGGCATATCATTGTATGCTTATACAGAGGTCACTATGTGTGTCCCAGGGATTGAACTCAGGTTGTCAGTCTTGGCAGCAAGTGTCTTCACCTGCTGAGTCATCTCACCAGCCCCTAAGCTTCAACATTCCGTTTTTGTTTTTGTTTTTGTTTTTGTTTTTGTTTTGTTGTTGTTTTGTTTTTTGGTTTTTTGAGACAGAGTTTCTCTGTGGCTTTGGAGGCTGTCCTGGAACTAGCTTTTATAGACCAGGCTGGTCTCAAACTCACAGAGATCCACCTTCGTCTGCTTCCTAAGTGCTGGGATTAAAGGTGTGGGTCACCACCACCCGGCAGCTTCAACATTCTTAAAGGGAAAATATTTGTTAGGACTTGATGATATCTAAAAAAGTACTTCTGTTTTCATTCTCTTTCTCTTTTCCCCACAGACCTTAAGTTTTAGTAGAGTTAAAAGCTTTGATGCCAGAGAGAAATATTTTTCTGTTAAACTCGTGATTACCAGTTATTTCTCACATGCAGCAAACCTAAGGGTCTTTTTATTTAACACAAACAATTAAAAAAATAAAAGTAGCACTTTGTCACCGTGTCAGACTAGTTGAGATAGGATCTTTAGGTAGAACATGGGCATTGTAATGCTTGGGGTAGGTGTTGATTTTTACAGTTTTAAACCATTTCCCAGTGATTCTCATATATATATTTGTATAACCACAGTAAAATCAGTTTGGTTAATACTAACCCTCCTTTAGACATTAATTAGCCAATAGGTTAGTAGGTTTCTTAAGTTCATTGATAATTTGTTAGTTTATTTATATAAGGATTTTTTTTTTAAAGACAGAGTTTCATATAGCCCTGGCTGGCCTCAAACTCACTAGATAACCCGAACTACCTCAAACTGGATCCGTCTGCCTCTGCTCCACGAGCTCTGGGATTATAATGTGTCACCACATCTGGTCATATTGTCATATAAAGAATGTTTTTTAATAGTATCTAATGGACATTTATTTTTAAGATGTTTATTATTGAATTGAATGTAAGTAATAGCTATACCATGTTATTTAGATATGTTAAGTGTTTATAGCTTATTGTTAAGATTAAAGAACATTTATGAAATTTCTGAGTTTGTCTAATTCTCTAAGTACAATCTTTGACAAGATTTAAGGTAGTACCAGAGCAAGCTTTTAATAAATATTATGATAAGTTATATAATAATAACTAACATAGCTATCAAAAAAGTAAAAGCTGAGGAAATCTGAGTAAATTATGGACTTTGACTAGTAATAATGTATCATTATTACTAATTATTAATTGTGATAAGCTGTTATATAAGAAGCTCATGACAGGAAATAGGTGGGGGTGTATGGGAACACTCTGTACTATCTTTGTCACTCTTTGGTAAATTTAAAACTATTCTAAAGTGAAATTTTATTTTAAAAGAAAATAGATACCATAAGGTTTTATGCAGCTGCCAGAAGCTAAATGTAGATTCAACTCTGTGGTTTTCTAGAGTTCCAAGGATAGGATAGAGGAGAACATAATTTCAAAGTGCACATGAGAGGGCCATGGAAACAGCTCAGGAGTAAAGGTGCTTGCCATGCAAGTCAGGTGACTTGTGTCTGATTTCTGAAACCCAGGAAAGATGGAAGGAGAGAACTAACACTACAGAGTTGTTCTCTGACCTCTGCACATGTGCTGTGGAATGTACTCTCGCACATACACTCACATTTAAATCTGTAGGAGGCAGATACATGCTAGTTCCTCAGGAAAGGTCAGCTTTGAGCAGGAAATAAAAGGTTTCCTTTGGCCTCTCTGAAGAGTATTTGGTTTGTGTGGTGGGTAGGACCTCTAACAGCAGTTTCCCAAAAAGCATGAGACACTGAGTTTAACAGAGTTCCTCCTATAATCCGAGGATGCAGTCTAAAAATGTATTACTATGACCCACAAGTGCCCTCTCTGGTTCTATGTGTTGATTTCACCTCCTGTACCCTTCACTTGCTTGCTGGCTACAGTCTCTTTCTGTACCTAAGTCGGGCCAAACTTGGACTTGTATTAGAACTATGTTCTTTGCCTCTTTCTTGAACTATAGATGCGTCCTTCAAGTGACCTTTTGAATGTCCAGTTTAAAATAACCATTCGGTTACATTATATCATCCTGTTTTGTTTATTTGTTTCTATAACACTTGTCATTATCTAATATTTTGTGGGTGTTTTGTTCTATTTTGTTTTGTAGAAAAAGGTCTCAATATGCTGCCTGGGCTGTCTTTGAACTCACAAACAACTTATCTGAGATTACAAGTTTGGGGTATCATGCCTAGCTTTGAAATACAAATCTTTTGAGTTCAAGATTTTTATTTATTTATTTTTACTGTTTTATATCTAGTATCTAAAATACACATGAACATTACACACTTTACTTTGCTCAGGAATGAGTAGGAATACATAAATTTTTTTACCTTCAATTTTATATGAAGCCTAAGTATTGTTATTGGGGAGAAAGAAGAAATCAATCTAGTTTATTTCTTTATTTTTATTTATTTTTATTTTTTTTGAGACAGGGTTTCTCTGTGTAGCTTTGGAGCCTATCCTGGCACTCGCTCTGGAGACCAGGCTGGCCTTGAACTCATAGAGATCCACCTGCCTCTGCCTACTGAGTGCTGGGATTAAAGGCGTGCACCACCAACCCCCATCTCTAGTTTACTTCTTTATGTAGTGATTTTTGTTTGTTTTGTTTTCAACTCATTCTCCTGTAGGTGGACTTTTCTGTTCCTCTAGCCACTCCCCAGATAACCACACAGAGACTTAATGTTAATTATAAATGCTTGGCTGATAGCTTAAGTTTGTTTTTAGTTAGCTCTTATGATTAAATTAACCAATTTCTGTTAATCTGTGTGCTGCCCCAACACATGTTTATCTCATGTACGTACTTCCTATCCTGCTTGCTCTGAGTTTCATGGCATCTCCTCAGATTCCTGTGACTCTGCCCTTCTTCCTCTCAGTGTTCTCTCTGCCCCCAAAATCCTGCCTAGTTATTGGCTGGTCAGATTTTTATTAACAGTGACAGCAACACATCTTTACAGTGTACACATTATTCCACAGCAGCTTTTAGAATACAGCATTTCACCTGCTGCTTGGATTATCAGACATTTTATTTGTTGTATTTTATAATGTTGACATTATAATTTGATAAAATATTTTTGATGTGGCAAGTAGCTTTCTTTAAAATGAGTAAAAACATGAGACAAGATCCTAATTTTAAAGTTTTTACATTTTTGTGACATTTGTTATTGTTTTGATGCCCAAGGCATGACAAATTATTGAGACTATATTTTCTTTGCAGGAGGATACTAAGTTTCTTTTGTCCTTTTATATGTTTGATATGTCTCCTTTCAAAATATGTGAAGTGTAGACTTGAAATATCACGTGTGAGTTACTAGATTTTTTTTCTCAGTTTATTTAAAAATTTAAATGATACTGAATTAAGATAGAAAGAATGGTTATTTTTCTTTGTGCTATTTAGTAATGCATTCCTCTTGGTGGGGAACATACTTAGCCATCCTTAGCTAAATATAGCTAGTTCATTAGTTTAATGAAGTTATTTGACTTGATATAAGTAACTGTCTACCAGCCTATTCTGTGTTTTGCTAACATTTTTTTCTTTAATCCCACTACCTTCTCTCTAGTCTTATACATAGGTTTTGTTGGAACATTTCGCCTTCGATCTGTTTATTTTTGACTAGCAGATGTGTTACAGTTTGCGTAAGCTCCTTAGGATTGAGCTCTTAGTGGTGTTGAAGATGAAAGTATGCTTGTAAATAATTCATTCTGATTATCTGCTTGAATGAACAGAGTCCACTTCGGGAATTTTCTTGTGTCCGACCTCTGTCCCTAAGTCTTTGTTGTTTTTAATAGATCCGAGTCTTTGTTTCTCTGAAGATTGAATTGCATTTCTAAAATTCATGAAGTAGTTGCTGCATGTGTAGGATTGCTGTCAAGTGTACATCCATAATATGTTCCTTTTTCATGATGTTTATAATCTGGTCTTATAGTCCCCATTTCCTTTTTTATTAGGTTGTCTCATTATCTCTGAAAATTGTTTTTCATAGGTTTTTATGACCC